TTAAGAGGCTAAATATTTCGTATTGCTCGACTACATGTGAGTTCAAACGGGCATTAAATAATACCTGTCACTGCCCTCAGTGATCCCCACCACAAACAAAAATAATTACGAAATCGCTCACGTGTGGCGCGATATCGCCAAGTTGGCAAGCACCGATATACATGTTTATTCCAACAGTGGGTTTGGTTTTGGGTTTGTTTGTTTTTTGGGGTTTTTTTATTATTGTTGTTTGGTTGTTTTGTGTGGGGGAGGGGTTGGTTTTTTGTTTTGGTTTTTTGTTTTGGTTTTTTTGGGGGGCGAGGTGGGTTTTAGTACAGAAAGATGTGAACAGTTTTGAACTAAAAGAATTCAATGGCTTTCAACAAATAGGAAGCACTAAGATATCTTAATGTCACCATCATTCACAACAACAGCTAACAAGAATAGAAAGATCTTACATCTAAAGATTGAATCTTTCTGATCTTCTTTTAACCATGCTGCACCTTTATTGGCTTACCAAAGCAGTCCACGCTTAGCTTAAGTAAGTGTTTCCTAAGTGGTCTGTCGTGAATAGTCTTTACAAATAGCCAAGAGGTTTGCTCTAGATAATCCTAACAGATATTATGTCTGCATCAAAGGAAAGCATTCTTGTCGTTAGTAAAATACGTGGGCAGCGGATGTTCAGCAGTTGAAAAAAATTAGTAGGCCGTGTATTAGGAATATCTGTTATTGAATAATATATTTAACCTTTCAGTCTTTCAGTAGAATATCAGCATCTCCATAAGGCTTTTATGTTTTATACGGGGTGCCCATTTGGGGGATCGGGTCGGGTGGGGGCGGTTTGCTAGCCAGATTGAGGGCGCAAAGCGGCTATCATAGCACGAGCCGATCGCGCCCGACTCGTCCCCTCAAAAACAAACGAGTTTGTTTTCAGGCGACCGCTCCCGATCCGACCCAACCCGACCAGACCCGACAAGATCCCATCCGCAATGGGCACCCCGTACAATAAAGAAATCGACAGTCAGAAACCATCTCTTCTGTGGGTAAAACTTCTAGTTATGAATCACAGCGCCTTTATCATTAACTGTCTATGAGTCATGATCAGAGTCAGTTACCCCTTTCTTTATATTAATACATGTATCTCCTTCTCCTTCTCCTTCTCCTTCTCCTTCTCCTTCTCCTTCTTCTTCTTCTTCTTCTTCTTCTTCTTCTTCTTCTTCTTCTTCTTCTTCTATCCCGCGGTTGGGGCAACCGTGGGGACACCACTGCATCTGACAACCAACTCTCGCCATTTATCTTTGTCCTCTGCTTTCCTCAGATTGTCACCCGTCGTCTTTCCTGTCCAGTCTGTAATGTTGTCCTCCCATCTCCTTCTCTGCCTTCCTCTCTTTCTTTTTCCTTGAACGGTTCCTTGTAGGATTGTTTCGGCAAGTCCTGTGGATCTTGTAACATGCCCATACCATATTTTTTCGTCTCTTCACTGTAATATACTAATATAATATTAATATAATTATACTAGAAGTGGCCAAATCTTCAAAAGCGCCCCGGCGGACATCCAGTCTACAGGATTGGTGAAAGTGAAGAAGTAGGTCTACAGAGTGATCCAAAAAAAAACCCTGTACAACTTTTTTTTTTTTAAATCTCGCACAGAATATATGTACCGGAATGTTGTAATTTGGAACATATTGTATAATTCATTCAAAAGGAGTTTGACATAAAATTCACAAAGAAGAAACTTATTTTCGAAAACGGAAATGGCTTTTATAAAAACCACCTATAAGTGCAAAATGCACCAATCTAAAAGATCTTGTAAGGAAAGCCATGAAATGATTGATTTGTTTTTTTCCTTTCCTTTTATTTTTAAAAACGAATCTTTCCATCCCTGTAAACTTTAAACAACAAAAAGAAAAACTATCGAATAAAAACTATTATTTATTCAAGAATACAACAACAAAATAACTGAACTGCCAAGTTCTTGGCCAAAGAAAAATACTATGGTCCAATTTACCGGAGTCAATGTTGGGCCAGGAAAATGTGGTCTATAATATTTTT